CCTCTACAAGAAAGGTCCTATGCAATTTTCCCGTATCTCCAACGGTTTGGAAGTTACTGGCAAAAAACGAAAATTTCGCAAAATCTGAAGGGGTACCCCTTGGAAAAATCTCGGAAAAATCGAAAATTTTTTTTTGTTGTTTATTATTAGCAATGTTCTTCCGAAGTCTGATTTCTTTTTAAAAAATGCGTTTCTAAAGTGCATAAACTTTTGGGATTGACTGTATAGCCAATACATCCTTAACACTGTTTTTGTTTTATGTTTAATGAAAAACAAAAGACGTGGATTTCGAGATTGATAGACACATGGCAGTAACGAAAACGATCAATCATGAGTAATTCAGAGCTGTGTCACAAAACCCCCGCGTACATCCTTCTCGTGAAGACCAGATTCAAGTTGACCCTAGCAGAGTACAGGTACGATGAGAATTTGAAGAACGAGTACCTAGAGACCGTGACGCAAGGCAATATGACTCGTTACTACGAAGATGCTTGCAAGCAGTTCGATTGGGAGATCGACGAGGAGCTTCTCAACACAATGGAACGCGAAAATGCAATCGCGTTGCAGGAACTCGAATCTACGTCCGACAACGCGGCTCTCGAAGATGCCGGCAAGAAGAATTGGAGAGAAAAATTCGAATTTTTCTGCGAGATCGGAGATCTCGAACGCGCGTCAGAGATCGCAGAATCAATTTCGAAGAACGAAACGAATTCGTCGACCGCCAGGATCGAAGCTGCTTTCGGTTTATTTAGGATAGCGTACATACAGAACAACGTGCGTTCGATGAACAAGGTAATCGGAGATATAACGAGCATAATGGAAGGATCTCAGGTGTCAGGCAGCAATTGGTGTTGCCGGAACAAGTTAAAAGTGTATGAAGCTATATATTGTCTCGCGACTCGAAATTTTGCTCGCGCCGCGTCTCTTTTATTAGACTGCATCCCTACTTTCGAATCGTACGAATTGCTGCCATTTAAAGAAGTCGTGGAATTGACCACGTTATCAGGCATCATCTCTTTATCGCGATCGGAGCTCGATTCTCAGTTTAATAACAACGGTTTACTGCAACAAGCTCTGATCACGGAGTCCTCCCGCTACAGAGAATTCTTTTACTCCTTGTACGACTGCCATTATAAAGATTTCTTCGAAAACCTCGCCTGGGTGGAGACCGAAATGAGAGCGAATCCATTGCTTCACTCGCATTATCGTTACTACGTAAGGGAGATGCGTTTGAAGGCGTACTCGCAATTGTTGCAGGCGTACAGGACCATTAATTTAAGTAGAATGGCTATGGAATTCGGCGTGACGGAGGAGTTCATAGAACAGGAAGTGGCCCGTTTTATCGCCAGCGGCAAATTGTATTGTAAGATCGATAAAGTAGCCGGGATGATCGTCACGGTCAGTGCATCTGGTTGCAACAGAGGTCAAGCACCCGACGCTTCGTGCGATCGAGGATTAACGTATCAAAACATGATTAAAAGAGGCGACGCGTTACTTAATCGATTGAAAAAGTTGGGCCAAGTTATCGAGTATTGATTCGAAATCAATTCGAATTTCGTCGGAAGAACGCGCGCGTTTTACCACGTGCTCTTGGTCGGCTTCAATCGTAGCGACGATCCTGTGTACGTTTAGTATAAGCAATTTATAAGGTGTCACTTGTAAAGAAAAGTAATATAGACTCTTCATTAAAATCAAGAGCAGGAATACAGTATTTGGAAGTTCGTCGTTTTCTCAGATTACTCTCATTGTCGTTTCACTGAGTCGCTCGTGTCTTAACCTTACACAGGTATGTTAAAGGCTGTGTATTATTCGTTCCAGTAAGATTGTTAAAATTTCAACGAATCATGGCTCATCGGCTCCTCACGAGATATCCTCGAAGTGTTTCCTCGGGGACCAAAGAGTTAAAACAGTACTTCAATTACCTCCTCGTACTCGACTTCGAAAGCACTTGCAAACGATACGAACAAATTGAGCCTCAGGAGATCATCGAATTTCCTTGTGCGGCAGTGTCCACGAGCAGCTGGCAGATAGAAAATCTTTTTCATCAGTACGTCAAGCCCAGAGCGCATCCCGTGCTCACCTCTTTCTGCACAGAACTCACCGGCATCATACAGGGCATGGTCGAAGATCAACCACATTTTCCGGAAGTGTTCGAAAAATTTCAAGACTGGTTAGACGAGAACAATTATTTTAAAGACGGGAACGATTGTGCGTTTCTCACGTGCGGAGATTGGGACTTAAAAATGATGTTACCGAAACAATGCGAGCTGGTGGACATACCTGTACCTCATCGGTTTAAGAGGTGGATAAATCTGAAAGGTGCCTTCTGCGATTCGGCCGATTATTATCCGCGAAATTTAGTAGACATGCTGTCACATTTGAAACTTCCCCTGGAGGGAAGATTGCACTCGGGCATCGATGATGTGAAGAACATGGTTAGGATAATACAGACTCTCCACTCGCGATACAATACACAGTTTAAAATAAACTCAGCGCACAAAGATGTTATTCAACAGTACAAGACTCTAAAATAGGAATAGAACTGAAACGATTTGTTAAAAACTAATTTATTGATAATAAACATATTTCCAATATAAAAATGCGAAACTATATCCTGTATAATAAATACTTCAATAGAAAAAGTTCATTCTAACATGCCAATTTACAATCGTTTGACGTTTACACGTATTTGTACATCCACTTTGTTATTCTCTGTATAAATCTCGAGAGCAGCGGTTAAATTCCTTTCGATCTTTCGTTTACATTGAACTTTCAGTTGAAAATCTCTTCTAGTAGGAATCATTCCTTCAGCTGGAACAACGCTTAGATACTCGCTGTGCGTTATATTAGTTTCGAACGGTTGTGCCACAGTGCATGAACTTTTTATCGTAACGATCGCTTCCGTTCTGGTCGGCGGAGATAAAATTATGACCGACGGACTGACCATAAAATTGTCAGCGTTCAATTTTGGTTGCGAGTTCTCCGTTAGGGTCCTGAAAATGTTTTAATTGAATTAATAGAAAGATTTAGCAAATATGATACAATTAATATTATACGTACTCTGAGGGTAGAAAGCTTTCTCCGTGTCCTTCGTATATGTGACTGTGATCACTGCACAGAGAGTAGAACATTTGCGATTCATCTGCACTGTCCTGGAGGATAGATAAAGTCTCGTCCGCGCATACTTCCATCGTCAACATTATCTCGTGCTGACGAATTCCGCGGCAAAGATCTCCAAGATTTTGCTATACAAAAGTTAATTAATAACAAACGCATTAATCAATTGAATAAATAAATAATATCTTACCAACGAATCTCGAATGACGCTAATATCTGACGTCAATTGTTCTCCAGGAAAAGCTTTGCATATTGGATGAACTATGTTTCTAAACGTTTCGTTTTCACTGCCGCTTATTTCGCCAATCTCCTTCATCTTATTGTATAATCTAGACGTTTTATTGAAATATAGAGTAGTTGTTTTAAGCTGTAAAACGTAATCAAGACTTACCTACGGATTCGCAAACGCGTAGGTTCGTCTCCATGAGTAATTAATAATGTTCCTACATGCGATACATCAGATCGTTGTAACACGGCCAAGTCTTCCTTCCGTGGGTGGAACTCTAGGGACACCCATTGAACTTCTTTCGGGTTTAGCAATAACTCTGTTGGATCCACTTGCCAACTTGCTATCATAGTAGGATACACGGCTGAAATTAATCAGAAAATAATTAGAAAGACAGATTAAACAAGATATCACTTGTTTAAAATACCTTTTGGTGTTAATTTTATTTTAACATAGGAACACAGATCTCCGTTATTTTGTAACTTGATCTTTGCGTTCAGGGAACCGCCGGAATTCAGACTGCCAAGCGACAACCACATTTTACCGGTAGTATCTTTATAAGCTTCGGAAATTTCAACTTTGCTATAACCACCATAGCCATATAAAAATAACTGAAAATATATTAGAAATTCATTGATTTTTATACGACTTCGTAAGTCGAATTTTACTTACCACTTTCGAAGGACGAGATTCAGCATCATTTCTTCTAGGCTCGTAGTGTTTAAATATTACCTTACCAGCAGCCGCGCCACTGTGATGTGGGCTGAACATAACAGATATCGTCCTGCTTTCTGAGCCTTGCAGAATTAATACAACGGACGTACCAGCTGCTTGTCGATCCCGAAGAAATCGGAAATTCTTCTCGTTGTCCGAGATTGTAACTTGAATCTTGATTTTATTGTTGCTCGTATTACGAATGGTGAATTCCTTGACTTCCGATTTTCCCGTTTTCACGCTGTTCCATACTAAAGCTGCATGAGTTGTTCTGATCGGAATCTTGTCTCCGGCGACGGTCGCTCCGGATACCGAACTCAGCGGCGAATTTCTACCGGAGTTTCCTGATTTATTCGACGTGACGCTATGCGGAGATGACGGAGAACTGACGGAAGACGAGCATTGTGGCGTTTCACAGCGAGAGAAATTTTCATTCTCTGCTTCGGTGTACGTATTCGATTCTCCGATTACAGAGTAGTAATGAACACTATTGGCACTGGTCAATTTGATTTTCGCATACATTTTCGGAGCGTCTGGACTCTGATTTTTATAAGTAACGAGGAAGCAACTAGTTTCCTCAGGCTGCGCAAGCAATTTTTCTGGTTGTACTGAGAAATACTTTGAGTTTTTCATAAATTCGACGTCTTGGACAAACGCAGCAGATATCGTCGTCGGTATCGTACCAAGATTAATCACGACCAACGGTTTAGTTTGTTTGTTAGGAACAATCAACGGCAGTTCGGTGTCAATCACTTGTATCTTACAAGTTCCTACTTGTACGATAAGAGGAACTTCTCGAATCAGTATATTATTATCGGAATTGTTTCTAGCTTGAATTCTTAATGTACCGCCGTAATGCTGTAACGATCGTTCTTGTGCTTCCGTGGTTTTTTCCAAGATTCCCGTGCACGAAACGTTCATGGTGAATATCTCTTGCGATTTGAGGGTGAGCTGATACGACTCTTCCGATTTTTCGAAACTGAACACCGCTGATCTATTCTGTGCTATGAAAAATTTGAGGGTAACGTCGACGCTGTTTTTATTTTTTATCGTGATCGGCAACGTTGTTAAGGTATCTTCAACGACGCTGCCAAAGTCCAAAGCCTTTTTCTCCGATGGGCACAGAACGTCTACATTAAGTTCCTCTGGTTTGAAGCAGATGATATGTTTCATAATCCATTCCAACTTCGTTACCATATCTGATACTGTTATATTTAGGACTGCTATGATCGGTTTACACATTTCTACTACCGTTACTGTAATCTTTGCACGTTGCTGAGAGTTCGGTTTAATAAGAACAACATCTTTCGGTAAAGTTAGTTGAACATTCTGTTTGTCACCTTGAATTTGGTTCACGTTCAGTGAGCATATGACCCATCTGTCGCTTTTGTTTAAGAGTTCTATGTCGGTCTCTCTCGATATTCCGACAATAACATTGCATAATTCCTCCGTTCCCTTGCCAATAACGACGTTGTTCATATAAGATTCATTTTGTTGAATCTGTACAGAAGTTTCTGAAATATCTTTATAAGAAACATTTTCTTGTTTTATAGTCTCCTTCTTCTGTGACTCTTCCTTGTCCAGGCTAGTGGAATTCTTTTCGTTCACCTCAGAATTACGTGGCGTTTCTTTTCCTATCGCATAATTCGGAAGCGAGAATTTCGAATCTTCCAATAATAATTTGAAGTCTTGACTATAAGACGGCCTTTTTGCATTGGACATTTCTTTCTTGAGCTCCTGATAAGCGGCTTCGAAATTTGCATTAGACGTTGCACTAGAATCCAGTGAAATCATCCTTCGAATTGGTTCCTTAACGTCAATCATTTCGCTATTGATTTTACTGTCCAGAGATAATTTCCCTGAAAGGTACGATAATCCATCTTTCTCGAAACTACTCGTATTCTTGCTTGGAGTCGAAGCAGGCATAGACTGTCTGTGCAACGTATAAGTATCTCTAACTGGTATATCATCCTGCAACTGCATCAATTTCTTCTTCTTCTTGGCCATAATCAATTGATCCACCAATCTCCGCGGTGTGCCATTATCAATATCCTGCAATGCCTGAGCAATACTGGTCAGACTCATAATACTTTGATCTTCTATGTCCTTCGTTATGTTCGGAACACTTTGGCTTTTATCTTTGACAACGTAAGACTCGACCGAAGTGTCTGTAAAATAAATTCTTAGACATTCTGATGATTCGCCTTGATATTCAAGAATAATACCTTCTGTTACTACAGTTGAATCAATTAGAGGTACAAGTTGTTTCTTTCTTGGACTGTCTATGGATATGCCAAGACTCGGTCTTCTCGCTGCGTCGTCTGACAATTCTCCAAAATCTCCGCACTTCCTTTTGAAAAACTCATCCACAGTTAGTTTTTCAGCGCAGGATCTACAATTCGAATGTATTATATGTTTTATGTTACAAAAGAACGTGAAGATTGCAAATACTTACTCTTTATATGCAAAAACTTACTCTACTGATAAATCTAGTTCGCCGATGATGCCAGAGAAACAGGATAAGTTCAAGTATTCTTTTTCTGTGGGAGTTGTGGTAGGGAGAGCGTAAGGATAATTTTGTTGCCAGGACACTTCGTCAGCAAGCATTTGACTGGCCATTTCAGAGGCTGGGCGGAATTCCTCGTTTTGAGCCAGCTGGGCCATCAGTTCAGCGGTTGTAGAATCAAACGACATAGCATTCAAACTTTTGTTCGACGATGTAGTAGATAACTTCCTTGTAGTATTACTTAATCCGGACGAACGTGCGCTTATCTCATTTGGCTCGAAGATGACCTGAAGATTCAATTTACAAAACGTCTCTCTTTCCAATCTTTTATTTTCATTTAAATTTAAACTTACACTACTTGATTTAGTAACAGGTATATGGGATGTATTCTTATTTTGAGAATTCGATTGTCCTGAATCCGTCGCGATTAAATTTTGTATATTTGCATTATTCTCTTTGTTCGTATCTGTAATAATACGATTATATATTAGCAATTTTGTTGTGAAGCAGTTGTACAAGAAACTTTTACCATATGTAATAGACGTGGGTTTTATATCACTGCATCTCTGAAGTAGCTTCCTAGCAAGTTCACGTTCTGTGTCCAGTTTATTCTCATCTTGCTTCTCTATGTCTCCGACACCACTTACTTCAGCTAAAACTATGAGAGCTCATTATCGAATAAAACTGTCATTACGCATTATCCAAGAGAAATTGAGAAACTCACAAGAGGATAAATTACTGAGTATACCAAGGGACTCATCGGACTTTCGTGTCACATCATGCTGTTGCACGGCTGTTTGTTTACAAACGGGTTCATTTTTGTCAAAGATTCTGCTTTCCAGTCTAAAAGAGACACGCATAATCTTCCTCTTAAGTATCATTCAGTCAATAATTAATGAAAAAATCTATATATTATGATAAGTAACTATAAACTTACGTGCTTTTTCTCTGTACGGTCGAAGCTGCTTGCGGCTGTGGAGTGCTCAATATAGTCATATCCATAAAATCTGCCCCGATGGGCTTCGACGGTGTGAACATCGTCAAAAAAATTTGCCTTTGTTCGTTTCTCGATTGCCAGCGATTGCTCAGTGGAATTTATCGTACGCAGCTTAAGAATCCGAACGATTTACGGATCGTCAAATCGATAAAACAAAATTGGAACCGCACCATGTTATTCTTAACGTATTGTTTGACAGTTGATCGATCTAGCGGCGTTCAAATTTGAAACTGTATATCCAGCATTCACCGATCATAGAATACTTTGCTGTATGTTGGAGCGACCTGTTCGCTTACCTACGAAAGTGTCATGAAACTGCCATCTGGACTTCACAATAGAATTGAATAGAATACAACGATGCCATGTGCACACAGAAATGCCAGTTTGAGGACGGGAGTCAACGAGAATCACCCCTTCCACTTACGTACACTATCGTACCACTATCGTACCGTATCCGTATGTTCCGAGCTCGGCTCAAGTTCGGCTTATAGAGAGAAAAGGCAGAACATCAACTTGTCGCCTTTGCTCCTGATGCATTAAGATTTGAGCTGATGTTCTGCCTTTTCTCTCTATAAGCCGAACTTGAGCCGAGCTCGAAACATACGGATACGGTGCGATAGTGTGCGTAACTGGGAGGGGTGATTCTCCCTGGCTCTCGTCCTCAAACTGGTACATGATAGGGTACATATCTCTGTGTGCATCGTGTGTATATCGTGTCAGTGACCTTGAAATAAGGGTTATTCGTGTAAAATATCAAAATATTAAACGAACAAAATATGTAAAATTCGGACACTGCTGGGTTCGCAATTTTTAATTAAAAACAATTCTGACAAGTCTTACACGGTCATGTTTCTTCGACTTTGAACGAAGTGCAGATACTTGTCATTTACTGTATCATTTGTATACATAATTCTCTTCCTCTTGTTTAAAACTCGATGTATGAGACAGATTCTGTATATTTTAAAAGTTGACAGGTTGGTAAAAAGTAGTAGCATTAAAATTATGGATTTCGTTGCGATTGTTTCTGTCTATTCTGACTGACGTACGGATTGATATTTTCAAGGTAATATTAATAATACAATGGACGACAGAACAGAGAGAAAAAGACTGAATTACAAGGATAAACTTGTATTAGCGCCTATGGTGCGAATTGGTACGCTTCCTATGCGTCTCCTTGCGCTCGATTACGGTGCGGATATCGTATACACCGAGGAACTGATAGACAGGAAATTATTACGATCATTTCGTCGTGTAAACGGTAAGAAAATGTTAGTATTGAAATATCAAAGGATGGACTTGAAGGAAACGCGACAGCATCACTTATAACAGATTTACCTTAGATGTTTTGGGAACGGTCGATTACATAGACAAAACAGATGGCATGGTAACTTTTCGAACCTGTCCCAAAGAAAGGGACAGAGTAGTTTTGCAAATCGGTACATGCGATGCGGAAAGAGCATTGACCGTTGCTAAGATGGTGGAGCAGGATGTTGCTGGAATCGATGTAAATATGGGCTGCCCTAAACAGTTTTCCTTGGTAGGGAAAATGGGTGCAGCTCTTTTAAAAGAACCAGAAACAGCTGCTCACATTTTGAGAACCCTGGTGAACAACCTCAGCATTTCAGTAACTTGTAAAATTCGTGTATTGCCAGATTTGGATAAGACTATAGAATTCTGCCAGCTTATGCAATCGACCGGTATATCGGCGATCGCGATCCATGGTCGAACCGTTGACGAGAGACCGCAACACATGAATCGCAACGAAGTTCTGAAGGAAATCTCTAAAAGATTATCCATACCTGTTATAGCAAATGGAGGTTCCAAAGAGATACAGAAATATTCTGATATTATCAAGTAATGGCTTGGATTCTGACTGAGATACCTAAAATATTGTTTCTATAATTCTAAGATTGATGCAACTACTTATAGATTTAAGGAAATAACAGGGTGCAGTAGCGTGATGCTCGCACGTGCAGCTGAGTGGAACTGTTCGATATTTAAAAAGGAAGGTTTACTCCCCATGGAAGATGTAATAAAATCATATTTGAAATATGCAGTGGATTGCGATAATCCACCTTCCAATACTAAGTATTGTGTACAGAATATTCTCAGAGATCAGCAAGAATCAGCGCTAGGAAAGAAGTTCCTTAATTCTCAAACTTTAGAACAGATATGGTATGAACCATATCGCTTGTCGAACACATTGATTTATTCGTAGGCTCATGTATGATTTCATTTTAGCGATTGTTGGGATTTAAGTGAGTATTGTCGTTTAAAGAGAAGTGAGTTCGAGAAGAATGGATTTCTGGGGAGATCTCAAGTCTCGCCTATGAGAGATGACGAGGAACACACTCAGTCCAACAAAAGAAAGCTCTCGGAAGAGGAAGATGTAATTTTAATGCATTGCGCGTTCTTGAGGAATAATTACGTAACGGATCTTGAATTACCGAAAACAATTTTGCATAAGTGGATGCAAACTCAAAGAAAAAAGATGCCAAGCTATAATACGCAACAGAAAGGAAAGCTTTTCCGATCCATTGTTACCGTCGATGGAAGAAAATATGGATCATCTTTCTGGTAATAAGAATGATAATACGATGCATTAAATATTTAAATAAATGGATTGCTTATTGAATTTTAGGGAGAAGAATAAGAAATGGGCAGAGCAGGGTGCCGCGTTAGTTTGCCTATTTTCTTTAGACCTAGTTAACAAAAAGTCTTTCATTGCAAACGGCAATGCTCCTTCTTGATACTGGATTATTGAAGATTAATCATAAGAACGTTGTATGAATAAATGTTTCCTATTGATTTGACGAGAGTTCAACGTACATATTTTTATTAGCTTTGTTAAAAATAAAAATGGTTTTGTTACGAAGAAGGCATCGTTCTTTTCATTGTGTGCATTGCACGGTCCATTATGAAACGCCCTCTATACAGGAACGCGTTTGTGTGTGATTTGTGAATGTATCTCACAGTATTGCAACTATTGCATGGTAGTGTCACTGAACATTGTTGACGGGAAAGTGTATGTTTTTTCATTTGTTGCAAACCAGCGTATTTGACTATAATGATCTATGAACAATCATTTCAAATACAATATCATTTATTGAAATAAAGGTGAAATTGAATATTTTCTCAAGAATTTATATTATTTCGAAACAATGAGCGAGGTTAAAGAGAAGCAAGAAAAGGTGTTAGTCGAGCAGGACGATGAAAAGAAATCGCCGAAAACAAAGAGGAAACGTGAAAGTGAAGAGAGAAGTGTAAACTATGAAGAAGTTAAGAACTCTAGGGGACGATCTCCAGATCCAGAACCATCTAAGAGATTAAAATATGATACCGAACAAAATGTATTTATCATGTATCGTATTTACAAATCTATGGTTTTCTTAATAATTAATCATTTCTGTTGTTGTAGACTAAGGATGATACTGTAAGTTCAACTGTTGATAGTAATAAGGAAGAAAAAGAATCGTTAACTGAAGAAGTATGCAACGACAATGCAATAATAGTAGCGAAACATTATAATTCATTAGAAAATAAGAATTTAGCCCAGAGAAATAGGAGTCGTATTATATACCTGAGGAATTTTAATAACTGGATTAAGAGCATGCTCATAAGTAAGATTGTTATTCAAAAACAGGGTGATTCTAATAAAAGTGTCTTGATAAAGAATCCGAATAACAAAAAAACAATTACAACAGTTTATGTATTCATTGTAGTAATGCAACTGTAGAATATTTTTTATGATGAATAATTTCAGAGTTATTCAATGTCGTCACATTATAAGAATCACCCTGCATTAAGGGTTTTCGAATAATTTATAATCTAAAATTGTTTGTAGCTAAATTTGTGGAGGAGATTAAAAGTAAAATGAATCATGGATCTCGTATGAAAGTACTCGATATGTGCTGTGGCAAGGGAGGTGATTTATTTAAATGGAAGAAGGCGAATATATCTCATTTAATTTGCATTGATTTAGCTGAAGTAACTGTCCAACAGTGTCACGATAGGTACAAAGATCTGTTAAAACGAAATGCTTCTCAGAGGAATTCTCTGTTCTCTGCCGAATTTATAACTGCTGATTGTACGAAGGTATTCATCTTTCCTTTGAAAAATACGAGTAATATAATGGAATTATTACTATGAAACGTATATACCATTATATATTTTGTCAATGGAAATTGGTTATGAAATAGTGTTTTAGGTACGTCTGAGGCGAAAATTTGAGGACCCTAGTATGTATCTGGACATTGTCAGTTGCCAGTTTGCATTCCATTATTGTTTCGAATCGTTGCAACAAGCAGAATGCATGATACAAAACGCGAGCGAATGTTTAAAGCCTGGAGGATATTTTATTGGAACGATACCAGATGCCTATGATCTCGTGTATGTTTGCATTTTAATGTGTAATATATCGAGGAATTTAAGAGTTACTCTCATTTTTCTGTGATCAGTTCTAGATGGCAAAAATGTGATGGTAATAGTTTCGGAAATGATGTTTACAACGTCGAGTTTTTTTGTGACAAGGAAAAGCCACCAATATTTGGTGCCAAGTACCATTTTCAATTAGAAGGCGTTGTCAATTGCCCGGAGTTTCTTGTTTATCTGCCTGCGTTTAAAAAACTAGCTTTGAAATTCGGTTTGGAAATGGTACTGTTTGAAAGGTAACAAGACGAATAATCGTGTCTTCTTTATGTAAAATGTTCATTCACTATAAGTATCGTATTGTTCTATCGTAGATTCGATGATTTTTATGATAATATGAAAGACAAGGACAAACAGTTGCTCAACATAATACAAGCTTTGGAGGTTTATCCTCCTCGAGATGGTCCACCTGTTGGTGATCCCGATCGAGATTACCAGCACGCAAAGGAATATCTAAAAATGTATCCCAATTATTCTCAGATCGGTACTTTATCTAAATCCGAATGGGAAGTTACTTGTTAGTATAAGATTGTCTTAGTTCATGCGAACTGTTCATTAAAATTTCATAACTTTATCATAGTAATGTTGATTAATTATATTTCAGCGTTGTATGCAGTATTCGCATTTAAGAAGATGAAAACTGTATGGAACAAGGACGGAGAAGCAGAATATGTAAACTCATAAGTGTACACATTATACGTATAATTATGTAATGTTCATTTTGTAGCATAAGATTAACTTTGGAAAAAATTGACAATTCTTAATTCTACAAACAGAAACTAGTCTGACTATAGTTGTGTAAAATATATTTCAGTATGAATTTTATCATGTAATGCTACACGCACATAATGTAGCAGTGTTTTATATAAGAATGAAATCTTATAACATCACCTATTAAGATTAAAATGAATTGTATACAATGTTTCGACATGTTCCTTATTCAATGATCTAGAATCTATGAAGAAATAAATAAATAAATATCGTCAGGCTCTGTAAAATATTATTCATTTATCAAGACCTGCCATGCGGAAGATAACGATTTTACGAATTATAACGCGAAATGGCTCCTATGAACATGTGATAAAACATCGATGTTCGATTTTACGTCACGAACGTCTCGTTTCCTAATTGAAGTTTGTGGCGACGCGTGAGCAAATATAACTGGATAACCATTTTCAAAATTAACGCGATCATTATCAGTTCACGAATTTACAGAAAGTTTCCGGTGGTGTATTCCGTGAAATTTTAAACGTTTACGTTCGCAACCGACGTCGTTGAAACGGAATATGACTTGGTAAGGTAGATAGAAACGTGCCGCGGGGTGGAGGGGTTATAACGGAGATCGAAGAGGCGGAGCAAAGAAGCGCGTGCGCTTTTAGTTATTTTTGATACTTAGACTGGCGTCCCCTATACGATCTAAAGCGTGTAGGCTCGGCTCGGCCCGCAGCAGTCTCGCGCTGAGTGTACATACGTATAGTCGAACAGTAGGTGACTGGTGTGTGTGCCCCCAGTCCTCTACTTACTACTCTCGCTTCTGTTAGCCCTCGCATTGCCAGAGTCTATCAGTCGCGTTCTCGTATGAGAAATGGAGCTCGAGCAGCCAGCAACGCAGTCGAATTCCGACTCAGTAAGTGACGATTTAATATCCATTTTTTAAAACGCGTCCGTCTACGTGCACGGTTTTTCGATATTCGGCCTCGTTTCATCGCCTTTCTCTTGCGCGTACGGTATAGCCGCTGATGCGAAATTTTTCTAAGTCCCAAAATGGCGTCTGGCGACTAAGTCCTACCTGGCTCGCTTCTCACTGCCAGACGTTAAGTCCAACACTAGAGTGGATCGTTGCACGCGACGCCTCGGCCTCGCCGCAATATCATTTTAATGCCAGTATGATTGTTTTCAGGAGAGGAAGCTCAAGGATAACAACGGTGTGACTGGAAATAATAGCGGTAAACGTTTTATTCATGGAGTTTAACATAACGCGCTCGCGGGACATAGAACGGGATCGAAACTTTACGGCAGGCGAGCTTTACGTTCGACGCCACGACTGAAGTGTCGCGAAGCTGCCAACGACCCGACCGGTCAAACACGTGTTTCGTCTCTCTGACGAGTTGTTCGAAATACTTACAGTTTCCGTGATTCAAATTTAGTTTTCTTCGAATCGCCACTTGTTCACGTTTTACATTGCGAGAACCTTTTATTTTTACGTCTTCGCGGAGTTGAATTAATCGGGATTTTACGAAAATGTCCCGCGATCAAGAGATCATACACGTGTAACTAAGAATTTAATCGTTATAATTTTACGTGATTTCGTTTAAACAATTATCACATAAAACATGTTCTTTCATTTTCGATAAAAAAATATTGCAGTAATAGTTGCCTGAATAATTTTAGATGCCCACATAAATGGTATGTCAAATGGATTTGATAAAAAGAGAGAACACAAATCTGAACATAGGGATAAGGACAAAGAGAGATCTCATAAATCAGATCATAAAGACAAGGAGAGGAGCAAGGAGAAAGATAAGAATCATAAGAGTGAACATAGGGACAAGGAGAAAGACAGGCATAAACATAGTTCAAGTTCCATTAAAGAGAAGGACAGGCATGACAGTAGCAATAAAAACAAGGAAAAGGATAGGAAGAGTAGCTCCTCCTCGAGCAAGGATAAAGAGCATAAGAGCAGCAGCAGCAGCAGCAGTTCCTCGAATAAAGATAAAGATAAGGACAAGAGCAAAGACAAGGAACATCATAAATCCAGTTCCAGTTCTGGATCTAAGGATAAAGACAGGTATAAGTCAACTTTCAATAAAAGTCTGTCACATTTTCACTATTGCAATTACATCAATGAAATTATGCTGCAGGCACCATAGTAGTTCCAAGGATAAAGAGAGTAAGGAGAAGGATAAGGATAAGAGCAGAGACAAAGAGAAATATAGCAAGGACAAGGAGAAGCATAGTTTAAGTTCAAGTTCTCGGGACAAAGAGAAAGATAAAAGTGTCTCCAAAGAGAAAGAAAAGGAGAGGAAGCATTCTACGGAAAAGGACAAGGAAAGACATTCCACTTTTCATACAAATGACAAAGAAAAGCATCGCTCTTCTGAAAAAGACAAGGACAAGCACAATTTATCAAGTAAAGATAAACACCGTCATGACAAAGAAAAGGATCGGCATCGTCACGATAAGGAGAAATGTAAAAATTGCAGTCTGTGTTGCATCGTATGACAAAATTTTAATTGAAAACTTTATTTTCATTCCGTTTAATTTGCAGCCAAACACAGGGAAGATAAAGATAAGAAGGAAAAGGAGGAAGTCAAAGTTAAAGAGGAATTTTCGGATGTAAAACCTAATCACATAAAGAGTGAAGAATTCCATTACACTGTTGCGCAAACCTTGAAGCAAGTGAAAGAGGTACGTTTCGAAATGTTTTTAATCAATTAGAAAACATAATGACACGAATTATATCGTAGGAACCAGTCTCACAAATTGAACCAGAGGACGATGATGACAGCAGTGGTGAACAGCCACTGTACATTAAAGAGGAAGACGATGAAGAAGAGCCAGCTAATGAAGAGGAAGCTAGCATGGATTCGACTGATGGGAATGATACGAGGCTATCGGATCTCCATAACACTACTATTAGAACTGAGGATGAATCTGATGAGGATATGCCATTGGTAAATTGAACTTCTACATATCAAATTAGCATGGTTGAAAGAAGGATTTGTATAATATAAAAATCCTCCAGATTGCTAGAGCTTCGACGAGTAGCAAGAGGAGTCTCGAATCGGAGGAGGAGGAAGATGATAAGCCACTCTCAGCGCGCAAGAAACCGAAGAAAAGTGAGACAAAAATGAAGAAAAAGAAACGGAAACATGAGGACTTGGAAGAGGATGACGAAGTTGACGAAGTATATTTCGCGATGCATGTCTCTAATGTATAATTGTATATAATACTAATTATAATCGAACTTCTGTTTAGAAACCAAAGAAGAAAGGTGCGAGATCATCAAAGGGAGAGAATTCTAGCCCGAGAAAGAAGAAACAAGAAGACGAGCAGGACGTTTGGAAATGGTAAATTTTGTTGTTAGTACTTAAAGATCCCGCGTGAAGCAATGTCACGTGAACAGGCAGGGTTATGTCGACCTTAACCTCAATATTACATCGTGTAAATGTTTCTCGAAGTGCAAGAAAATGATATAAAAACACATTTTCTTGAATGAAATATGAATGTTAAGATCAGGAGAGTTTCGATAATATTTATAAGAAATATATTTTCTAAATATCATCATAGATATTACACTAAGTGCAAATTTAAACTGGTTGAACAGTTTTATGCTTCAAGGTTGTGTTTTCACAAGTGCTTTTATGCAATCAAATAGAGTTATAATTGAATGAATACGTAATGGTTTTTTAGGTGGGAAGAAGAGAAGAAGAGTGATGGTACAAAATGGACATTTTTAGAACATAAAGGACCCGTATTTGCTCCTCCGTATGAACCGCTCCCTCCTAATATAAAATTCTATTACAATGGGAAAGAAATGAAATTGAGTCAAGATGCAGAGGAAGTTGCCACTTTCTATGCACGGATGTTGGATCACGATTACACTACGAAGCCCATGTTTAACAGCAACTTTTTCTCTGACTGGAGGGAAGTTATGACTGACGCAGAGAGAGCGAAGATAGTCGATTTAAGCAAGTGCAATTTTAAGGAGATGCATGCATATTTCCTTCAGAAGAGCGAGGAGAGGAAAGCAATGACTAAAGAAGAGAAACAGAAGATAAAGGAAAAGAATGAAGAGATCCAGAAAGAATATGGCTTTTGTACTATCGACGGGCATAAGGAGAAGATCGGTAACTTCAAGATCGAACCTCCTGGCTTGTTTAGAGGCCGTGGAGAACACCCGAAGATGGGAAAATTGAAAAAGAGAGTTATGCCCGAAGATATTCTTATCAATTGCTCGAAAAAATCAAAGATACCGCAGCCACCGCCGGGACACAAGTGGAAAGAAGTCCGGCACGATCCGAATGTTACTTGGCTCGCGTCATGGATGGAAAATATTCAAGGCCAAATTAAATACGTTATGCTTAATCCATCGAGTAAACTTAAAGGAGAGAAAGATTGGCAGAAATATGAGACTGCAAGGAAACTAGCGCAATCGATAGACAAGATTCGGGCTGAGTATAGAGAGGATTGGAAGAGTAAGGAAATGCGTATACGACAAAGAGCTGTAGCGTTATACTTCATAGATAAACTGGCTTTAAGAGCTGGTAATGAAAAGGACGAGGATCAAGCAGACACTGTAGGTTGTTGCTCTTTGCGAGTAGAACATATTTCATTACACGAACAAAAAGATGGGAAGGAGTATGTAGTCGTATTTGATTTCTTAGGTACGTGCAGCCTTCTTATATAAATTTCAAATTTTGCCATAATACGTACGATGTATTTCATTTCATTGGTATTTACAGGTAAAGACTCAATAAGATATTATAATGAAGTGCCAGTAGAGAAAAGAGTGTTCAAGAATTTACAGCTTTTTATGGAAGGGAAATCGCCAACTGACGATCTGTTCGATCGTCTCAATACGACAATTATGAACAAACATTTGAACGAGTTGATGGAGGGTCTTACGGCCAAAGTATTCAGGACTTACAACGCCTCGTGGACATTACAACAGCAATTAGATAAATTGACGAATCCTGATGACACTGAGGCCGAGAAAATTTTATCATACAACAGAGCGAACCGAGCCGTTGCAATATTGTGTAATCACCAGCGCTCAGTTCCTAAAACACATGCAAAATCCATGGAGAATCTTAAAGCAAAGATCGAAAGCAAGAAAGAAGCTATAGCCGAGGCAGAACAGGCCGTGAAAGACGCTAAACATGAAGCGAAACACGGATCTGTTAGAGAAAAAGTGTATGTTATCTGTTATTATCAATTAACCGTGTTTCATAGTAACAAATACTTTATTCTGTCATTGTTACAGTGTATATGAAAAGAAAAAGAAAACTCTTGATAGATTAAGAGACCAGCTAACAAAATTGGAGGTCCAGGCGACAGATAAAGAAGAAAATAAAGAAATCGCGTTAGGCACGTCCAAGCTGAATTATCTCGACCCAAGGATTAGCGTTGCTTGGTAACTTTCATTTCATTTTTATTCTATATTAATCGAATAAATATGAGCAAACATTTAATCATTTATCTTTACATTCCATAGGTGTAAAAAGAATAACGTCCCTATTGAGAAAATTTACAATAAAACTCAAAGGGATAAGTTTAGATGGGCAATAGATATGGCAGGACCTGACTACGTGTTTTAACCCCATGAAAGATCGATAATCGCGGAAAATAACTCCCACTAATTGTATTTAGTGAATTTTTCGTTAATATGATCGGGAGAAAAAGTAACGGTATAATTTTCTATATTTACAAAAGATAAATGTGAGAGTGCGGGGACATATTTTATATAGAAACACTGTTAAATTTCGGTGAAGACTTTATATTTAATGTGTAATCGACACGCGCGTAGTCTAGAATTGATCGCTTAGCATACAGCGCGTAAAAATTTTAGCGGTCGCATTTGCATATAGGCGTTTAATTGATCTTATAAATATTAGTAACACAATTTGAGTAAATCGGAAGGAAAATGTCAACTCCTTAGGTAGAAATTTATAATATTTGTGAATATTTACAAGAACATGATTTGCGCAGAGCGAACTAAATTTAGAGGGTTGCAGCTCGAAGTTAATTCGTTAGATCATAAATTTTATTACCTCTAAATTTAGGTGTGCACGAGATGGCATGGGCTGTTGCATTGTAAATAGAATTTATTCGTCAAAACTTTGCCAGCCGATTAAACGATAAGTGTATGTGTACTAGGTCTATCTTAAAAAATTCACGTCTGATAGATGAGCAATTAATTTTCTATTCTTTTCATCTGTCTTCTGATAAATGTGTAGAACTATTCAAGGAAAATTATTCGTATTACGCATTAGGATACTCTTGAAGTCCCTGCGTAAATTGATTTAGTATGAAATTACTTGAATCGAAATCATCATTAACGAACTTGATTGGCATAATGCACGTCGGAACAGATGATTATAAGTAATGATATGTATTTCAAAAAACACAGATCATCGCTTTTTAGCGATTTATGTTTTATAAGAATGTTTAGATTATAATAAATGTGAACACATTGTATCCTCAAAAATTCTTTTAGTATCTGTACACTCGAATACCTTGCGATCACCAGTAAGAATAATTGCCCGCAGAGAACAAAAAAGCTGTGTACCAGATATCAGTTTTTATTATGCTCATACACAGACGTAGCTGCGTAGCTGTGTTGAAAAGTCTTATTCATAATCGATGATTGTCACGCTAGTAAACGTAGGTCCTTATGT